TCAGTCACTTGGCACTGCCCCTGCCAACGTTGCCAGGGGCAACCCCTCATGCTGCAAGCTCTGTTCTCGGCACCACAGTACTCAGCGGCAGCATAGCTCCCACAGACTCCTGTCATGAACGGGAGATTAAAGATTTAGCAATTTCTTCTACACTCCAATCTCCTGTTTTGAGTGCCAATAGATATCCTCTCTCTCCTTTTTCTGATTATACAGAATCACTTTCCCCTCCTCCCCCATGGAAGAGGGGGATGACTTGGCTTTGTTTTCACCACAACTATTTCCACACTCAGAAGGGCCAGTTAACCCTGAGCAACCAGATTTCATCCCAACACAAATGGCTCCTTGGGCTCCATACCCATGGATGCCTCCACCCATGATTTACCCCCCACAGTGGCAAATGTGGAACCAATGGCCACAACAGCAACATAGGAAGAGGCCATTTAAAACCAAACATATGGTCAAACCTCACGCTTCCCTAACCAAATCACCTTGAGTGCCTACTGATAGAAATGATAGCGAGGAACAATACTCCCCACATTTGTCTTCTGTGACTTTACTTCAGGCTAACTCTCTTTCTACCACGGAGGAGGCAGTTCTACCACCATCCTCTAACAATGTGGAGGTTGTTCCTTCCTTTCAAGACCTTTTTAAAAGAGTCGGACCCTTTTTAAATATCACCATGGAAGAGGTACAAGACTCTGACCATGAGCTTACAAACATCCTCCAATCAATACCATCTGCAAAGATAGCTTTACCTATCAACCCAGCCACACTTGAACCAGCAAAAATCTTATGGCAGATACCTGCCTCCATTCCACCAACATGCAGAAAGGCAGATCAGAAATATTTTGCCCCCCCTTTCCCTCCAAGGGCTCTGAATTTCTTTTTACACACCCTCCACCCAACTCCTTATAGCGGATGCTGCACAGCAAAGAAATAAACAGCAAAACCGCTCCACTCCATCTGAGAAGGACAATAAAAGATTAGACTAATTGGCAGAAAGGTTTACGTTTCGGCTACGCTTCAGATGAGAGTAGCAAACTACACTGTGTCACTCAGTAAATACTATTTTAACAACTATCTGAAGTTTAACACATTTATTGAGCATGTCCCTGACAAAAAGACACAATTTAAAGCTATCCTCTCCAAAGAGCAAGAAATATCACGTATAGCATTACAAGCCGCCCTCGACACAGTGGATACGGCCATGAGGACAACAGCCATAGCGGTCACTATGAGAAGGAACCTCATAGTTCAATTCTTCTGCTTTTCCCTGTCAAGTCCAACCAGCTGTGGAGGATCTCCCATTCAACAATGAGAAGCTATTCTCGATGAAAACTCATGAACTACTTCAGTCAATGAAGGATTTCAGGACTATACTACGTTCACTGGGCATCCAAACACCTACACAAGACCAAGACAATTCAGGTACCAACCATATCAGAGACCAAGGTACCCGCAATCCGCTTATTATTAACAGGCAAGACCACCTGCCGTACCAACATCGTGGGCGAGGCAGACAGCAAAGATGACATACTCAAAATAACCCCAAACGTTCGTCCCAATCCAATAAGCAAATCTGAAATAACAGTCAAGAGACCGAAAACCATATCACCTACCCCAGAGCCTCAAAATATATCAAAACTGTTCCACTTTCATTTGTTACCATTTCTACAAAACTGGAAAACCATTACCTCTGATAAGTGGGTAATACAAACTATCTCCTCAGGTTACACCATCCCTTTCCTTTCCCTCCCCCGCTCCACCCTCTTCAGGGACCTCTCTCGAAAGATCATATTACAACAAGAGGTGGAACACCTAGTTCAATTAGGGGCCATAGAACCAGTGCCCCTGGAGTTCCACAGAACCAGTTTCTACTCACACTATTTCCTCATAGAAAAGAAGACAGGTGGGTGGAGACCAATCCTTGATCTCAGATTGCTAAACAAATACATAAGAAAACAGAGATTCAGAGTGATCACTCTGGCCACCATTATCCCAGCTTTGGAGTTTGGTGACTGGTTTTTGTGTCTCAACTTACAGGATGCGATTTTTCATATATTGATTCGACCGTCTCACAAATGTTTCCTTCATTTTACCTTAGGTCTCCAACATTACCAATACGCGGTCCTGCCCTTCGGACTCTCCACAGCACCCAGGGTATTTTCCAAGGTATTAGCAGTCGTTGCCACCCATCTCAGGAAATATGGAGTCACTATCTACCCTTACTTAGATGATAGCCTTATCAAAGCAAGGACTGAACACGAGTGTCACCAGTATACCCTCATGGTTGTAAGTTGTCTACATTCTTTAGAGCTCCTGGTAAACCGTAGCAAATCAATGCTCATGCCTACCCAAACTATCCAGTTCATTGGTGCCCATCTCAATTCCATTGCAGCCAGGGCCTCTTTGCCTACTGACCAATTCATCCGCATCAGACAACTGGCACAATCTCTCCAAGAGATGCCCTCAGTAACGGCTCGCGACTGCCTACAACTTTTGGGTCACATGGCATCATGCAACCTTGTGGTGCCCAAAGTATGACTATTCATGAAATGTCTCCAAGGCTGCCACCTCTCTGGGGTCTTCAACTCGACAGCAGATGCCCTCAGCAGAGCCCTACTGTGGGGCCATGAGTGGAAACTCGATTATACAGTCCTGAACAACATATTCAGCCAATGGGGCTTCCCATGCATAGACCTATTCACCACCAGAGCCAACAAAAAATGCCCAATGTACTACTCCAGAGCAGGCATGGGGAAACAGTCCCTCGGGGATGCTCTTACTCTATCATGAAGCGCACCTCTGCTTTACGCATTTCCTCCATTTCCCCTCCTCAACAGAGTCCTGATAAAAACATTGAGGGACAAAGCAAAACTCATCCTCATCACACCTTGTCGGCCTCGCCAGTCATGATTTAGCCTCCTAAACAGGATGGCACACCATCACCCAATCACACTTCCATGCAATCCACACATTCTGTACCAACCGGGAATCACGTCTCCTCACCCTCAATTCCCAGCACTCCACCTCAGGGCATGGTACCTCAATGGTTCACGGTCATAGAACTACCGTGATCCCAACAAGTGCGTGATATCCTATTACAAAGCAGGGCTCCTGTAACAAGAAAAACATACATTAATAAATGAACCCGTTTCACTCACTGGGCGACCTCCTGTAGTATATCACCACAAGACGCTCCGCTCCCGGCAATTTTGGAATATTTACTATACCTGAAACAATCACAACTTTCTCTCGGCTCCATCAGAGTGCACTTGGCAGTGATTATAACCTTCCACACACCACTGGAAGACACCACAGTATTCGCACACCCGATAACCAAACGATTTCTAAAAGGTCTACAGGCTCTATACGCAGACGTTGCAGTCCCTCGAGAACCATGGGACCTGCACATGGTATTAACAACACTCACAAAGCCACCATTTGAACCTCTGGCTACATGCTCCCTACACCACTTAACATTAAAGACTGCTTTCCTGGTGGCAATAACTTCAGCTCTTAGTGAGAGAGATGGTAGCCCTCATGGCTGAACTACCTATTACCATCTTTTTTAAAGATAAAGTCTCCATGCGACCACACCCTATGTTCTTACCTAAGGTGCACTCCTCTTTCCACCTAAATCAAACCATATACTTACCAGTGGTTTTTTTTTTCCAAAGCTTCACGCCAGTGCTTTTGAAGCACAGAAGCACATTTTAGATGTCAGAAGGGCACTTTCCTTCTATATCCATCCAACTAAACCTTTTAGATAGACTCCACAACTCTTTGTCTCCATCGCAGATCACAGCAAGGGAAAACAAATATCATCACAGATATTATCACATTGGATTTCAGAATGCATTGCTACATGCTATTCACTAAATAACTTACCTCCGCTGATTCCAATCC